AGAAAATCGAGGAAGTCGTGTATGATCTGACCATTAGGGGACTCAAACCGTCTTCAGAAGAGGCGGATCGACAAGAGATTTCCGACAACAAAGCCGGGTTAGATGTAGGATCTCCTCCGGGCGAAAAGTAAGCTCGTTTGCTTTGGTGGAGAGTTGTGATCTTCTCAGTCTGTTTTGTTTGATGAGTACCGCACACGAATTATTTAAAAGAGATGAAGGCTACGATTGGCGTTTGGATATTTGTGAATGATCTGCAATGGAGTGCAAATTTTCGAAGTAATTAAGGCCGATTTAGATATTGCGTTAATTGAAATTCATCCTGAAAGCAAAAACTATGTCTTCAGTTTGTCTCTGTTTTCAATCCCCGTCGTTTGTGGTTTCAAATTTGTTGGGAACTTTTTTCGATATTGTGAAAGTAATTAGTCGGTATTTAAGAGTTGAAGGGAATAGCTGGTAAACTTGTCCAAAATAACCAAAGTTCTGATGAATGGATAAGAAGATTGGACAGAGAAGGAAAAAAGTTTGGATTAAATAATCAGTAATAAATTAGAACAAAGAAATTACACAGAAATTGGTATTGCTGATTAGCATGTGAGGCTGCTTGGCATTTCTCAGAGGTGACTATCGTCGACTCATAAACGAGGGGAATGTACCAGATTACGCAGATGATACAATGGGGTGTACAAACCATGAAAAGGCGGCCATATCTGTGTATTAAATTGAATTTAACTCTTCATCTAGTGCATACTATTTCTTTTCTTTCAATTCAATTTTAGGATTGTTCATCAAACATTTCCCCCTTTCCTTTCAAAATTAAAACGCATTGTTTTCCTTAATCTCTCATGACCAAATTTCTGGTCCTAGCTCTAACTTGCTACTACCATATCTGTTGTAGCCTAAACTATTAACTTTTCAGCAGTGCACCTATCGCCCAGCATAAGTAGCAGCCTATTAATCCGAGTAATTCAGGGCCGTAATTACGCCAACATTCTGTGATCAGCGCACGATCTCTACCTTCGGAAGCCTGCTCGCTGGTTTCTCAGTTTTGGGTCCATTTCGTCCTTTAATCTTCCTAGAATGAATCTGTTGAAGACCTTTCCAGGCACGGAGAGAAGTGCTATTCCTCTGTAGTTGGAGCAGTTGCTGATGTCTCCTTTCCTCGGCAACTTGACAAGATATCCCTCCTTCCAGTCTGTAGGTACTTTTTCCTCTTCCCGGAACTTCTCAAACAAGGGTAAGGATTTCCTCTGTACTTTCAGTGCTTCTGCTGGTATTCTGCCAGGTCCTGAAGCGTTTCCGTTCAGAAGCTTGAAGGGCGTCTTAACCTCCTCTTTGGTTGGCTTTCTGCAGTCTATAGGGAGGTTGTATTCTGCTGACTGAATCTCCGGAGGGTTTTACTAGACTTGGTCTGTGTCTGTTGAGCAGCTCCTCGAAATATTCTGCCCATCGGTTGAGCTGCTGTTTTGTTTACATGATGTTCTTTCCCTCCTTTTTTTCACTGGTGTCTCTGGGTGCCCGTACTTGCCCGACAATTTCTTGTTGATTCGTTGAGTCTTATGTTTTCACCAACTGCTGCATCTTCTACTTTCCCTGCTATTCCTACTACGTTGCTGCGTTTTAAAAAGATGGGTTATGGAAATTAAGGAATGAGGATCCACCGAAACATTTCCTTTCTGCAATGATAGCAGTGATCTAGTAGGCTTCGAAGCAAGCTTTGAACCATTTTTTGATAAGTATCTGTCATGATCTGACACCTGTCAATTAGAGAGCGTCTTGGTAGAAAAGCGCATGGACGCAGAATATCAGTGCCCCACCGGCGCGGCAAACGAACTCGAGCTGAATGACTAGGACTACGATTTTTTTCTTCGGAAAAGTCAATGATTTACGGGAAAATATTATTCGCTTCCTTCGACAATCACCCTTTGCAGATTTATCTCTGCTCAGTTTTAAATGGCGAGGAAAGGCCCTGTAGGTAAATTCAATGAGTGTTTTGAACTTGAGATAGTTCGTTGTTTGCCGTAATCTGGGTTATGGCAGGTGTAAAAATTTTGTCTTTCTTATACCAAAAAGATGTAATCAAGCGAGCTACTTTTACTAGACCCGAGAATATTAAGTGCGGCTTTTACTTTATTTCTTTGCTTATTTAGTTTTTTTTTCTGTTTTGGTTTCTGTTTTGCAATTTACGATAAAAACGTCCGAATTCTGTGGACTTTCAAAGACTTACCGTAAGTATATTTGGAGTAGAACTCAAAACCTCGCTCAACGTTTTACATCCAAAAACTGTTTTGCAGAATTCAGAAATTCAATAATTAAAAAAAAAAATAGAATAATTTAAGGAGTGGCACAAAAACCTACAATTGTCCTTATCCTGCTGTCTGGCTTTGCCTCTTCCTCACAATGACTTACAAGGAGAAGGACAAAGCATGATTGGTATGAACTTGTAAAAAACCCAGCTTGACGCGGGGATTATAGCAAAACCTTCCATTGCTGCATTTGGGAAAAAATAGGGGAGCACTGAGTTTCGCTCTGTCAAGATGACAACGAACGCGACGATAATGCGGAAATGGAATTCCGCGAACGAAGAGCTGAAGTTGTCAAAAACAGGAACAAAAAATGTCATCGTTGGAGACAAACGGTAGTCGTGAGGCTACAGATTTCAACTGTGGTGGTGTATGGATCGTTGGAAGGCAACCAGCCGATGTATTAGTGAGGCTGATTTTGACTGATAGTATAATTTACTTTACAACAGTAGACTGTGTATTAAGCGCTTAGCCAAATACATAGGAGAAAGGAAAAGTGGGAGTCAGGTTGTTCCACTAAAAGTCTTTTCTTAAAGTTTTATAGGATATAGCATGTAAATTCGAATTTGGGTGTAATTTCATTCTGTGAAATGACAATGGCTAAGGTTTTATCGTTTGCAGTACGGTTTGGTCGCTTAAGATGCTTATCCCAAGGTTTATACTCGGTACTGGGCCGTGGGCCTTCATCAGGGCGGATAACGCTAACCAACGGATAAATCGCTATCCAGCGGTTAAGCGCTAACAAAACGTACTTCGCTGTACACTGAATACAGATTTATCTAGTGGTTGGTGTTAGCCACCCTTTGAACAACCGGGGACCAAGTGTGTTTGTGAAAATACCACGTTTTGCTAAGGG